ATAAAGGAACATGGAGTGATCAAACAATTAATGATCCAGCTCCATATGATATGCTAACAAGTACACAAACAAATTTAGGTGACATGAAACGTTATGCTTCTGAAGAAAAGTATTTATTGGAAAAACAAAACTCTTAAAAATGCGCAGAAATATTTTTTCTTTTTGTGATGACAAAAATCTTTCAAACTTATTTTGACTTTTATATTAGATGAATACTCTATTGTTTCTTTTAATGATTTTCGTTAATATATATACATTTTATCAAGTATAAAGAGAAACTTTTTTTAAAATTCTCTGACAAATATTTTTTTTTTAATGTATTGAAGAATTTAGTTAATGGAAAAAACTTGGCATTATTTAATGATTATTGTGATGAAAAAATTAACTGTGCTTTATCAAATATGATTTGTAAAGAAAATACATGTAAATGCATAACAACAAATAAACAAGTTTATTTTTGGACTGGAAAACGATGTGTTGAATGTATTTATGGTTGGCATTCTTTTTATGGTAAGAATAAATCTATTTCAATCATACAATGTTTTTTCAACAATTCAACAATTCAATATTCATATAAATATAGATAACTCCATAAGTTCTTTTGCATAATTAAGCAATATGTGTGACATATAAACTTGAATTCTATATTATATCAAATATACTAATCATCGAGAAAACTTTCTTGTCAAAAATAAAAGTCAATTTATTAATATTTATATTTTAATTCTGTATAGATTGATTTGAAAACTTTGCTGTCTAGATGTAACATGTTATATATCTAATGAAGAAAAGACATCGACGATTTATATTAATAATAAAATATAAGAAGAGATATTATAAAAGATTTTTTTGTATGTGAAATTCTTCAAACGAATCTATGTGACATCTAAAATAGAATTACTATAGTTGTTAGAAAATAAAAACTTAAAAAATAGTCAAGTTTTCGAAAAAGAAAATATCGATTTTGAAAAATGACATAACCTATCAGTAATCGAATCATGATATATCGTTCTTTTTCTCTTCAATTCTCATGATATTTGAGATAAATTGAGTTTTATAGTTATTTCAGTACATAAAAGACAAAAAGAAACTATTTTAAGCAAATTTCTGATGAACACAATAACAAACAAAGAGCAAAAAAGAATGAGATGTTACCCAAAAGCATTCAGACCCTTAGCTCATTGATACAGAGATACTGTATTTTTGACTTTTCACTTGAAATTCTGCGCAAAGACACATCCTGTCGAGGATATTTTATCGTGAAGGTGTCAGATCTTTTGATGTGATTCTATCCTAAAATAAGAACATCGCATCTGTAGACGTATATGAACGATGTAAAATAGAAGTTTTCATCACAGTTCTATCTTAAGATAGAAACAACGAAAATATCTGGATCTCTCTTAATAAACTAGTCTCACTCATGCTTACCGCTAGGTACAATTTCAAATCGAATTTAGGTACTCGGTGTATTCAGTTTTTTAATGAAAAAAAAACTTGGTTTGATGCTCATGTCTTTTGTCATAAATATAATGCTGATCTTATTTATATTAATAATTGGCCATCTTCTACATTTGTATTCGTTGATAATATCACTAATTCACATTTTAAATCCGAAGACAAATTAATTAATATATGGGCAACAGCTAATCCGAATTTATTTGACAATGATAAATCAGGTTGTTTGACAGAAAACATTTTTCAATATCTGTATGCCTAGTTTATACAAATAACTTTTTATCTAGTATTTACTGACCGTTGGTTCAATTATCCTTCTGCAGATATTATCGAAATATTTTGTGTATGGTTGATCAAACAATCCAAGAAAAATGTATCAAATGAGAATGATTATAAGCTTTGGAATAAAACTAACAAAGCTGAAATATGTATACGATGGGCACCTTGGAGAATCTATGACAACTATCGTTGTCATGTTGATTCTGATACAAAATGTTTATCAACAAATCCATTTGTTTGTGAAAAAAGTTAATCATTTGAAAAGAACCTTATTTATTTAAAAATCAGAACTATTTTATTTAGCTGAACTCAGTTTATCACATGCTAAAGTGTCAATCAGTAAGTTGGAATAAAGATTATGTAATTACATTTATTCTACGAACATTTGATTTGTTTCTGTAAATTCACTTCCCATCAATGAAAGATATATTTGAGGATTAGTTGTTTTCGAATGGACTTAATCGAGATCAAACTCATATTGTTTCATCAGTTTTGGTAATGAAGCAACAAAAACAAGATTTGTCTTATTTAGATCTGAATAAATGAAAAATGTATGATATTTTTATGTTTTAATAGGATCATGCTCTTATAAGTATTTTTATTAATATCAGGCTTTAGTACATATATGCTACTCTATAAACTTATGAATCCAAATGATAGACATTAGATCATTGATAGATTTCTTAGAATAGTTTAGTTGAAAATCATCATACATTGAGTATGATGAAAAGGGAAGCTATCAGAATAAAGATTTGAAAAACTTCAATTTTATATATAGATATTCAAATTCAAAAAGAATATTTTCGAAGTTCCATATTTTATCTTCAGTTTTTTTACCATGTGATTAGATTATTGATTTTATGCTATAACATTTGTGGAAGACTAAATTATAAAATATAGTGCATAACGAAGTTTCAGATCATTACAATGAGGTTAACATCCAAGTCCAAAACAAAACAATAAATATTTTATGCTTGACATGTTAGACTTTCTAAAAACCAAGCATCGTTAATAATAGTAGATTAGATGTCTTCAATATTTAATATCTCTTTCAAGAAGAAAATATCTAGTTTGCGCGTTGAATATTTGTAATCAACGTTATAGATTCAATTTCGTACTTCAATAGTTCATAAATGCTCTGACAAACTCGAAATTCTAATGAAAAATGTAGTCAATGCAAGTCACTTTCAGTCTTGTCTATCACTATAAAATGATATAAATCAAATTGGTCACAGTGTATAACTAACCAAACCTTGTTTTGTTAAAATTATTTCAGAGAAAGTTTTACTTAAATTTCAACGAAAGTTACATAATTCTTTTAAGTCATTAAAAAAATTTCTTTTCATTAGATACCACTACTATTCAAAGCACAAGTTCATTAATAATTGGTTCTATATTAATTATGATTTCTATTATTCTTTTTACTTTTCTCATTTTATACATCATGCGAACAAAATCTTCAAAAACTTCTACTGGTCATGATGATGATAATTCATATGAAATAAATTCATCTGAAACTTTTTAATCTGTGTATATTTTTGCAATGCATTGTGTCTTTTTCTTCAAATGACAAAATCATTCACAAGACAAAAAGAGTTACATGTTTTATAAATACATTTTTTTCCATTTTATTAATAATGAATGTGAGACAAAAAAATTCAAATGAACAATAAATTAGTTTTTACGCAATGTAGATGCGAAACGAAGAAAAATGTTTCTTAGATATAGTTTTCTCATAAGGATAATCACACACATTTCCATTTTATCTGTAAAAAAAGAGAATTTCACTTTTTCTTTACCGTAACAGCGAAGGAAATTTTCCGTTTTAGCAAGAATTTCTGCAGTTCTCTCTACAACATTTATAAAAAAAAATATTTGTGAACATTAGATTCCAATCAGTTCAAAATTATCTTGTTTTATTTATATTAAAAAAAAAGATTACATTTTGATCTTGATGTACTAAAATAATGTCTTGAAGCTTAGAAGTATTGCTGGCAAGCTAATATTCGCAGTAAGTTACGTTTAAGGTGATCTAATGTCATGGACACCAACACTGGCTTCAATTCATCGACAAAACAAAGTCATATTGTTGTCGAAAATTCTTGATTATTCATATTTGAGGTATTTCCTATCAAAGCATATCAGTATTCGTTTTACTACTTAATAGTGTCACGAAAAATTAGAACGACAAATAGCAGATGTTTTGACTGAATTAGTGTCTCAATTTTTCACTGCTAACGTGTATTAGTATCTTTAAGACTTTCAAAAATGTCAGTGCCAATATTTCAGTATTAACATTGGTATATTCTAGTATTGTTGCTGATGCTTCTCCTTAGATATCTGTTAAAATACCATGCGTCAATTAACATTCGTTTGACGATTTTCTAAAATAAATATATTTACAGGTATCAAATTTCATGCGAACTATTTTATTATGTATCAGACATTGTTAAGGTAGTGTTTTTGAATAATTCTTCACTTTATACCATTATATTTCAGTGCTAGAATGTTGTATACTTGATGAATAAAAAATAAAGATCTATGTATTTCTATGATCGGCACAATTTTTAGAATGGGTACTTAATGAATAATAGTATATATTGTAGGTTATTGAAAATTTAGCTGCTAATGTGAACAGATTAGACGATCTTGATCAAATATTTATATCAAACATTTCAACGGTGACTGATCATTATCAGTGTCATGCGTTTTTTTTAAATATAGAATAAAAGAACAAACAAAGAAAAAGGACAACGTGTCTACAAGATATGTTACTTTTTCGAATCAAAAAAAATGTACAATCAGCGCTCTTTCTTTAAATGAGAATGTTTGCATTAGATAGGTCAATCATGAAATGACTAGGTGTTTTTAGGAGAATATAATCTATGTTAGATTAAAATTTTTTCTCTATCCCATTCCAAGTGGTGATGCAGGTTGTGTTTGTTGTGGAACAACAGAACCTGGTGCTTGTTGTTGAGAATTAGCTGTATTTGGTGCTACCGGTGATTCAAGATTAAGTAATAATTGTGATAGCCATTTTTTAGTTGATTGATCTTCTTTAAGAACAGCATCCTAAATTTCACAAGAATAAAAATTCGTTTTGATGATTTTTTTGAAAAATTATTTTAACACATACAAATGTATGATCTTTAAGACAATCAGGAAGACATGATCGAAGAGCTTCACGTGCTCTTGCATTATCCGATAAACGTAAATAACAACGAATTATATGTTTTAATAAACGGCCACTAGCTTCTTTTTGCTATACGAAAACACAAGAATTCAAAAATTCATCGAAAAAAAATATATTGTTGTTTGTTTTGCAAACCTGTTGAAGAACCATCCTTCCTAAAACCATAGCTACATGTGAAAATCGATCAAATGTTTGACATATATAATTTAAACCACAATCATCAGCAAGAATTTTTTGTAAAATAAATGTTGCAACTGTTTTAGATAATTCACTACCTGATTGCATTATACGTAATGATAGTGGAATTATTTCAGTTGTTAATAAAAAATTAATAACTTCTGTTTCGTCTGTTTTAACAAGTGCACCAATAACACCTAATGATGTTAAACGTAAATATTCAAATGGTCGTGTTGATGATTTTGTATTTAAAAACGGATAAAGAAATAGTGGAATATTGGCTTGAATAAATAAGGTACGAGTTTCAGGATGAGATGCTATACATTGAAGTAATGCTAATGCATTACAAACACGATTTGATTGTTGAGCTGTCAATGTTGGAGGTGTTATATATGGATAAACCGAACTAATAATTAGAAAAAAAACATTCAATATTTTTATTACAGATGTATACACAAGGCAAATAACTTACATAACTTCATGTAAAAGTACAGCAACTGAACCAAATGAATGCCAAAGTAAAACGGCTAAATCAACAACTTTTTCTCGTTTACGACTTAATTCCATTAAGGCATTTTCACGTGTGTTTGATGATAATAATTCAGTTATCCAACATGCAATACGTTCAGGAGAAACAGGAGCATCATTGGCAGGATTATTTGAACCAGATAATTGTTGTTGACCTGAATTTGTACTTGAACTATTTGAAACTTGACCACTTGTTCCAGCCGATGGAGGACCACTACCGCCACTATTCACTGTAGCCGTGGGATTAGGTGATGGAGTTGATGATGTTGATGATGCCATGTTCATGATTAGAAGATAGAAAATCTAAAATGAATTTGAAATAATTCGTATAGAATGTAGTGATATTTTTTGTCTTCTTGTCCTCTGTTTTATTTATTGTACATGAATTTGCTCGCTTGTCTGCCTGATTGTTTTTCTAATAACATTATCCAACTTACTGGCTGTTTTATATACCAATTAAACAAAAAGAATTTAATGACATCTGTTGAAATACATTAGATGCATTCATGATTTAAAGTTAGTGGAATAATAAAAATACGACAGTGTACATTTATTTCTGTACTGTACGTACAAACATGTCGAAAATAGTTATGAATCTAATTGTATGACGGTCCATCGATCGTCATTGTCTCACGAAAAAAGGTCTTAGGTGAAGAGATAAATAAAAGTTTGAAATGCTCACAATAAAATAGTGTTGCAGCTTCAAGTTGAACAAGAATAATCACAGCATTTGTCTATAGGTTTTGAAGAAAGATCTAGTCATTGTACTGAATACTGTATGAAAATCTCCGAATATATACTAATGAGCTGTAAATTTTTTCATTTTGTTACATTACTTTGTTTGATATTGATTCAGCTATGATTTTAAACTAAAATGTCTTCAGATAAGAAAATTTTTCAAAACAGAAGCAAGTTGAAAGAGCAACAATATTAAAAAAGACTTCTTGGATTAGCCATGATGTATATTGAAAAGGATTTAGACATAACACTGATTCTGTTATTGATGAGTTTTCATAATATAATCATTGTCTAGATCTTTGCGTTCCACTGCCGACTGTATTTGTTTTAATAAAAGTTATTTGTTCATGAATTTATGAATTTTATGGATAAAAATGCTATGAAGAACCGTCAGTACGCAAGTATGCTACTTATCTGACAGTAAAAAAAATTATAGTGACTCAGAAAGTCTTGAAAATAAATAAAGTTTTCGACAATTAATTAATGAATTGATTGTATTGGTAAAAAATGATTTACACATGCTGAATAATCACCCAAATCGTATAGAACGCTAGTAGATGAGTTGAAATTACCTAAAAGAGAATTACAATTTTGTTTTCTTTGAAATTGTCTATTCTGTTAATGTGAAGCTCTGATTCATCTTTTCAGGACATTTTATGCATCAATCGACAGATTCTATTGAGAGCCATCAGGCAAAGATGATAGTCTTTAAAAATGAAAACTTAAAAATCTTCACTTTCAAAGAAAATATCGAACACTCTTCTCTACGTTAAATACTATATTCGTAACTTTAATGCAAAAACAATTTTCCCTATACACATTTTAATGGATGGTTCTCTAGCTCTGTTATATTCCATACACTATTTGGTCTAATTGACAAGGCACATTAGAGAGTTTGGATGGTACGATTTTTCTGATTAGAAGAAGTGTTCTTATCATGTATAGAATTATATAATGTTCCTCGTTTAATTGGCACGCAAAATAGTTTATCAAAGTTTTTTGTAAACTGCTTCGGAAACAGACGACTCTTCATATTGGAAACATTAAAGATGCACCGATACTCTTAAATTAGTATTGATCAGGAGCTGTCTGTACATAAAAAATGTTTTTTTTCTCAAAGCATCAAATCCTCATTATTGAGAATAATCACTAAAAATTATTTTTATTTCTCGTCAACGTCCGAGATTATAGTCATTTTGCCCTATATAACCACCAAGTTGTTTGACAACAGGCATTTAAAAATCACATAAATTAGCAAATTCATATCTTTTCTGGTTGTAATATACACTCATGAAGCTGTATAAGTCTTCTCTTCGGCAATACTCACTCCCAAGTCGTATTAACAGCCTCTCCCATAATAGAAGTTCTTCTAAAACTCTCGGATACTTGAAAATATCTTGTTAATTAACTAATTATACAAATAGAACAGAAATAATTGTTGGATTCACCAAAAATGAGTAATCTCACATGTAGAACATCAACATGTGTTTTTCTCGAGCTATCATTAATGTGAACTTTTGCCCAGAAATCTAAATCATCAAAAATTTTATACATTACTAATAATGAAAATGAATTTATTTCTTTTGCAAAGAATAAACCCAACTAACGGTGAATAGGTAAATTACATTTCGAAAATTCAACAACTAACTATTTAAATTATGTCATTTTCAGAAATTTTGCAGCAATCTATTTCTCTGATATTTAAGCCATGCACTTTATTAAACTATGTCTACTCGAACAAGATCAAATCAATTCTAGGCGATTGCATTTCAAGATTTCGTTGTTTCGTTCTTGAAAAATATGGGAACTAAACATAATATGTTTCAGAGTGTCGCACTCATTAACTCTAGTAATAATATTTATTAAATTCGTTCATATTTCTACTAGTATTTATTTTTCCAATGGCACATTCTCATAAAAACATGATACATGAAAACAATCAAGAACAAGAAAGATACAATTAAAATCATTATTGAATAAAATATTGAAAAGATATCAAGAATAATGAAAACCTAAGTTATTTATTTATATGAAATCAAACAAAAGAAATCTTTATGAAGTATGAATGCCAATTTGATCTAGAACTCCAATATCTTTAAACCAAGCAATAAGTTCATTAAAATTAATGCTTCCATCATGTCCACGATCAATTTCTTCAAATTGACATGCTTGATGTTCATTTTCATCAAGAATATGATGACGTATTAAATCTTTACGCATTTTTTCAAATTCTTTTTTATTTAATCTACCATGATTATGTTTATCATATGAACGAAATACTTCAGCTATATAACATATTAATTGTGTTTGATATGCATTTGGCATTCGTATATGTTCAAAACGTGATGATGTTCTCCACCAATCAGCAAATTCTTGATAATCAATTTTACCATTTCCATCTTTATCAATTAATGTACATGCCCATTCAAGTTCATCATCCGATAAATAATAACCCATATCATAACAAAGTGAACGTAATTCATCACGTGATATTGTTCCTAGAGAAAATTATTTTATTTTATTTGTTTTTTGTTTTAAACATACCATTTTTATCTTTATCATATTTATTAAACATTAATTCAGATATTGGTTTTGTAGCACCACCAAATGAAAAACAAGTTGGTGCAGGTGTTATTCGTTGATGTTTATTAATCGCGTTCATTGTTCAGTAGAAATAAACTAGAGGGCAATGAATATATATATAGTACGATACACCATTCTTTCTATTCTTTTTCTTCTCGATTCGATCGATCACATGCACTTTTCGTTGATAGGTCAAGATTGAATGAGGAAAGAAAAAACTTGGACAAATAATAGGACCGAAGAAGAATATGTACATTGCTTGTTCGTACGTGCTTGAATCAATAGAGAAACGAGACAAGATGAGATGATTCATGATAACAATAGAAGACCAAAGAATGTAGACTATTCGATTATTGATGAAAAGTTTTCAGGTAATAGGATGTATAAAATACTTCATTTAAGATTATTGTCACGCTAAACCCTTGCAAAAAATCTCATCACATTTAATAAATATAAAACATAATGTGATATACTAGTATAATCAGATTAATTCTTTAGAAAGTATCATGAATTTATTAGATATTATTATGTAAAAATAAACAATAACTAAGAATGTTTTGTATCTGAATGCATTTCATCTAACTATCGTTTATGTTTATGTAGAAAAAAAAAACGATCGCTTACCTTTTGGTATAGAATGAAAATCAAACATAGTACAATAAAAGAAAACAATGCAGTCATGATCCTTCAATCTTTATGCTACTTGACTGTTGATATTCGTATACCTATTCACTATAGTATCATAAGTCATCTACATACAATCATTTTGCATATGGTGTACGAAACTTACATTTTTCGAATAGGAGATTGTTACTACTTGAAATGTATGCCGTTTTGTTTACATTAAAATCGTGATCATCGAGTGAACATTTGAAATTCGTCGTACATTGTGAATAAATGTGGGTGTAGACAATTTAACGGAAACCTATTTCTGTTTTATTTGTTTATCTTGTTAGACTCTGTATGTTAAGATTCAAATTCAACAAATAACTGTTAATATAAGCGAAGTTTATTTTCGAAATATAATATCGATTGAGTCTGTTTATTACATCCTGTAGTGCTTTAAACTAAACTAAAACAATTAGTATACGTAACATTCGATCTTCTCAATAGATGTTTTGAATATTGTTTTTCAATTCTTTACGAAATGAAAGTGAATGCATATGTATAAATAATAAAGTACAAACATAAAAAACATTTTACTAATATTGATTTACTGAGTAATTTTTAAATAAGTTTTGTTTTATTGAAGAAATTTAAAATAGTATTAAAAATAGCTTATTTCAAAAGAATATCAGTTAGATTATTGGCTCGTAAACATAAATAAAGTTACGTGATAATTCTGTTGATTTCATTTTGTTTACTCTTGTAAACAATCGATAAGCATAATCAATAGTAGACTTATAAGAACAATTCATTCAAAAAAGTAATAATTGAATGAAAAAATATTGTATAATAACTGCTTAATATTTTTACTCATCATATAATTTATCAGTTAATAAATGCAATTCAGTTTAAGTTTTCTTTTTCTTCGTATTGTATTTTTACAAATATGTAAAGCTTTTTTTTCACAATATAACACTTTTTTTAAAGCTTACTCAAAATAACAGGTAAATAACAGAAAAAAGAACTGAACTAAGCAATAAAATTCGTCAGTCATAATTTCAAGAAAATTTCAAATGATTATTAATGTAAAGAGATTCTCCTATAGTAAAACCTCTCTAAAATTGATGCTATCAAAATTTTGAAAGTGTTCAATATTGAGAAATATTTATTTATGGGAAATATCATACATTTTGCTTTGAAAAGAACGAAATTTTCAGAATATAACCTTCTATGCTAGTCTTGAAGTAAGCAGAGACCATTCTCTGTGTTGTTTATCTTTCTTTATTTGAATATTTATGAATCCAAAAAAATCTCAACAGCTTATAAAACTTCACTTTGTTTCATAAAGTTTTGTATTATGGTTTCAATCTTGATACATGTGCACGTAATGCACGTTGATGCATAAATTATCAAGTTGTGTTACATCAAAACTTTTAAGCTGTTTTGATTTGAGATCGCTGGATAATCAATTAAAACATTATTCTTTTCTTCATTTTAAAATATTAGGTACAGAGCCAAATGAAATATTCGAGTTTTCAGTTAACTCAAGCGTGATTAATCATTACTATTGTTGCTATTATTATTTAATTTGAATTTTTTCATCTAATCTAAGATGATGTTGTGATATCATCGCTTTTTCGAATATGCACGGTTATAACAGTCAATGAACGATAGTTTTAGTGTATTACTATGCATTGATGAAAAATAAAGAGAAAACAGTGTATGTGTTGTCATTTAAAAGTAGTTTAAATAGCAATCGACACTGTAAAAATAATGTCCAAGTTTAGAGTAGGGATGTTTTAAAGGATATTCACTATAATTCTATACTATGACTTGTGGAAAAATCATACTTGAGAAACAAACATAATCCACATATACTTTAAATGAGAACAGAAACTAACACACTATTGTACAACGAAAGAATTTCGATTGTATTTTTCGAGATGATATGTCATTTAAATATTTTATTTGTTTTATATTCTTATTTAATTTTCAAATAGTTTATGAAAGAATAAATTGACTCGTGACACTGTATAAACTATTACTAATTGCTGGTACAGAATCTTCGTATACATTTTCATTTTGACAACGCGATTTATATTGTTTATCATTGTATAAAGACAATTCACCTTCGCGAATAACTGAATCAAACGATTGAAAAAGGGACATCATTGAACCGTTTCTAATTACCTATTGAAAAACACAAAAATAATTTCAATAAAATAAAAAAATAAAAAATAAATAGACAAACGTTAAGTTCTTGCTTGTTATTATTTGATGGATTAATAAATGTTGAATTCGTTCTATTAATATGTAATTGAGAACGAACATGATTAATTTCCGTCGACATATCTTCTACAACAGTATCGACTAATGTATCTACAATATTCTTGTCGTCATTATTCGCTATAAATAGAATTGACAATCTAATATGAATTATAGAAGACTAACAGATGGATTGAAAGTTTTGAAACAAAATCTTTGTTTATTTTTTACTACATTGAATGTGTTTCCGAAGAAGTAAAAGCTGTGGATTATGAGCGAAGAAGTGTTGTGACCTTTCTAAGTGTAGACTTTTAAATTTTCTTGAGATACCAATGAGATAATCTTTTGAAAGACAAAAAAATAGTTTATACGTAGAAGTTTTCCGTAATCTGTTGTAGTTTGATTTTTACAACTGGACTGTAAATGTTGACACTTTTATTAATATATCAGCCTGTAGAGCAGGAGCTAGCGTACACATACGAATAGTGTGTATAGAAAGGAGCTCTTGTTAAAGTGCCTCTAGTTTCACTTAGGAAAAAGCTATGGCTTAGTTCAATACAAAAATTTGTAAAGAATTGTTCACTCAACAAAACAATCGACTTGAATATTTTTCGGTATATTTGAAAAGAAAAGTATTGTCCATAGTTTTTTGACTTGTCTGAGATACTTTCAAGCAGATTAAAATGAACAACTATTTGCATTACAAACTTCGACTCACAGTTTCCATCCAAACTCATTTTTTGAGTTATTCAAAGATTACTTCACTGCTTTCGAACAGAAATTGAGACAAACTTTCTTTGCTCATATTCAGAAAGTGTAAAATATGCTGGCCTTAATCTATAGCTTTTGACAAGCACCTGATGTGACTCATGGTTATCACAGTCATAAATACTAAAATAGTCACATATCTTGTGTCTGTATTAACAGTATTAAGTTTTTTATAGGAAAGATAATTTAATATTCTTAACTTATTGCGATAACTTATTCATTTCTCTCTGGATGAAACTAACTAGATATAAATGTTACAGAAAAAATTCAGTGTCAGGAAAATCTAAAACTTTTCTTTGATTCTAATTTTGTTCTGCGATACAAACATCACAACAACCTTGGCACGTAATAAAGCCCACATATTTTGTTACAAAGACAGTTAAATGAAAATACACGTATAATGTTACTATTCGATTGACTTGAATGAAATTGATTAAGAACATAATTTTCTTCACTGTGGTTAGTAATCTCATCTTTTTTGATTTATTTTTACCATTATCTAATTTTTGTTACAATAAACATTGATCACGACTCACGAGAGAAACTAGGAAGAATAATCTCAACCACAAAAATTTGGGCACGTCGGCACACTAATATTGACTTTTCAGACACAGCTTCAAGGGATCTAACAATTTTTTTTTCAAAACTTTCGGACCACTTGTTATTTGACAAATTTTTAGATAATTTCTGAAAACAAAATAGTTAAGTATTTTGAAAATACTCTCTACCGTTTTTCTGTTGTTGCGTATCATCGAATGAAATAAGAATTCGACTTTTACGAACTCGAAATATTCGCTGTTTTAAATGATTTAATGTTTTATTCCAAATATAATTAAATGATTCTTTATTATCAAGTAATTTTTCTGCTAGTTTTTGTCGTTCTTTAATTGTATTATATTGATATTTTATTGGATTATTATTAGAATTGATTGATAATGGTAAATACGAAATGGAACAAGATGAATTAATTTTCTTTTGTCTTATATTAGTAGCATTGAGAGATGAAGAATGAAAAGTTGCTGGAATATTTGTTAAAGTAAAATTTGGTCCACGATGAAAATGAGAAAATAATGTTTGTTTAAATGATGAATGTTGTTCATCTGATTGAGCAATCGGAAGATCAGATTGAGTAACAACATTGGGAAAATGATCAGGTTTTGATGTATAAGAAATCCAGTCTACTGGTTCATCATTGTAGATACGTGAATCTTGCTAATAATATAAAATTTTTCAATGTAATATTGGAATAAGAAAGAAAGAAGAAGGTCAATAACTGTTGAAAGTGGTTCTTCTCGAGCAAGTGGATTTATTCTATATAAAAATTACCGCACATGATGTCTGAAAGTGAGCTCTGATAGAATTAGTCATATGGCATTTATTTGTGCTGTGCACAAGCCGATTGAAATAGTCAATGGTCGTCATGTATGCATTGAACTTGACTGTTAATGAAAATCATCACTTTTCATCTATACTTCTCATAACTGGTTAGATTATTTTTATATGGTTCGATATCATTTTTCAAACGATTCAAAACAATATAAAAACATCGAGAAAAGAACACTGGCTACACCAAGAAACTCTAAGAAGACTACTGTCGAGACTCGGTTTTATGATTTTGTTTCGGCTGAGACTTAGTAAAATTTGACTATGAGAATACGGTTTAGACAAAAACTAATATGATATTCTTAATCAGCATTCAAAACGGTGTGAACTTGTATGGATTTCCAAAATTTTCGCAATCGTATTTTTGGTCGAAAAGTTTATTCGTGCTTATCGTCAAGATTAAATCAAAAAATGAATTTCATGAAGACTTTGCTCTTCTTGTTTATTCAACTACCATTTGGAGTTCTACTATCGTTTATAATCTTAAAATTGGATTCTCATTGTCAAAATAATTTTTGGATGAACTTCATTTTTTTGAACCAATCCTGATGGAGATTAGGGATGAACTTTTCGACGCAAAAAAGTCATTAAATCGTTCTTGACAGGAGATCTCCTTGAGATTTCTTTATGTGGTTAGTATTTCTTCTCTGATGCATTTATACCATTTTGAAGCAATTAAAAAGTGATATCGAGGTATATGAATACTGATCTAGTGAGTCTTTAGACTGATGAATAAAAAGCGTTGGTCATCGTCTACTGCTAAATATAGTATATGTATGACAGTCATTGACTATTTTAATCGGCTGCGATACAGCACAAACAAGTGTTATAAGTCTAATTCTAACAGCAATGACTTTCGGACACGTTGAATAGGAGTTCAACATCATCGAAATCATATTTCTGAAAAGAGTCGATTTCATCCGTTATCGACCCATTGTTGTTACTTTTAAAAATAAATCATTTTCTGATTTTTGTTCATTTCTTGTGGGAATATTTTCAAATTGTTCATTCGTAGTAATGATATATTGTGATGCTATGATATCATCATTATATGAGTTTTCGATTTCTTCATCATCATCATTATTAATGTTTATTACAGTTGCTTTCGTTGGTACATGTGGTATACTAGAATTCATAACAAATGAAGTTTGTAGAGTAACACATTTAGGTTCTGGAAGTTGTGTTTTTATCAAATTATCAATTTCTAATATGGATGATTGTTTTGATTTCTTTGCTTCTGATTGTTGATGATCATCATTGAATATTAATGGAGAAGATTTTTGTTTTTCATAATGTTGAATAGTTTTAATTAATTCTTTTGAAGAATGTTTTTTCGATTGTTCTAAACAAAATGAATTTTTATACATTCATTGAATGCTTAATTATTTCTTCACACTTAATATAGTCGTATTTTTATTCATTCTAGTTGATATAATTGTTTGAATAAGATTTTCTGTAGCTAATTTGAGAATTTTTTTTTCTTCAATTGATAAATTTGATATTTGATCGATGGTTTGGGTATTTGAATTTTGTTTTAATTGTAAAATATTTTCATGTAAAATTTCAATCATTTGACGAATACCTTTTGTTTGTTCAATAATATCAGTAAGAATTTTAGTTTCATCTTGTATTTCTAAAGAGAAAATATGCAATGATTAAAATTTCGTAATGAAATTTTTACCATCTCTAGAAAATTTATTAGATACAATTGATGTTTGAGAAGCATCAAAGAATATTTGAGATTTTATCATCATATGATTTTTAGATTTCTGTTCAATTTGTTTCTTAGAACTTGAAATTTCAGAAAATTTCAATGAATTTTGTTTATGATCTTCATTGTTAGACTTAATTATATGGCTCATAATGGTATGTATTGGTCCATAATAACCTTAATAATTTGAATATAGAATTTCGTTTATCTCAATTATTTTCGTTTTACCAGGTTGTGAAATTGATAGATTATATCGAATATCATATTGAGAAACATCTGATGAAAATTCAATTTGATCTTGAGTATTTTCAACTGTAAGAATAAAAGCTTTCTTTTTTTTTTATCTTCGAGAAATTATATTTAAATGCATAGTTTAATTAAAAAAATAAAACTTTTGATTTAATACTCAGAATTTGAAAAATGATTATTATTATTTTAATGAAAAACAAGAACAAAAAATCGTACTAAGTAGTTTTTTAGTTGTTGATTGATGCGAATTTTTGTTTTCTTCATTAACATTTCTTTTCGATTGTTTAATTATTTTGTTGTTTATACCACTATAATCTAAGATAAATTTAATGAACATCAAAGAAATAGACATAAAAAGAAGAAAGATACTATTAGCTTTGGAGATATCATTGTTTGATTTTGTACTAATATCGAGAGCTTCAAAAGAAATCTTAAAGTTATTCGAAAACCATAGTTTTTTTCACTTAACTTACTTGAATTTGATAATGTTGCAGTTAAAAAACTTTGTTGATCTTTGTCATTTTCTAAATCATTCAATTTTTGATTATCTTCATCATGATCAATCTGGAGATAAAAATTCAAAGTCTCAATTAAATATTTATATTTCTATTTAAACTAACATTATTATCTTGAATAGGATTATCATTAAGATTTTGTTTATTAATCGAACTAATATATTTAAATTCGTCTGTTGGTTTATTATCAAAGAAAGCTTTAGATTTTATCCATAGTCTTTCATAAAATTCTTTAAACATATGAAAAATTGAAAGTTTTTTACATATCCAATAAATAAGAAAAAGAATTAAGAAAATAATAATACATAATTTAATTGTATTATACAAAAGAAATGTTAATGAACAAATAACAATCCATGTTAAAATCTCTTCAAATGATATTGAACATGGACAGCAACAAAAGTAACGATATGATGATTTTAGTTCTGATATATGACAATAATAACACTGATTCGTTGATAATAAACAATAATGCTGACATATTGATGTTCTATTATTCATCGTTTTTGAATCATTTTTCTTTTCGATATGAACATGACAATAAAAAAAATAAACGTAATTGGTAATCAAAATAAAAAATGAATATTTTTTCTACAACATCGATCGCATATGACAAATGATTGCATATTACACGCGCGTAAATTTAACTTATTATATTTTGGTGTCTTTTATCCAAAAATAAGTATCAAAGGTAAATCTACATTTGGAAATATATAAATTATCTTTTAAAACTGTAATGATTTTTAAAAAATATTAGTTGAATATTTTCTGTATCTTTCAAATCATAACGATCAAACACAGCAATCAGAAAACCAAATATAAATGCATGCGCTATCCACGTCAGAGATGAAACCGTTAGCAGTTGATCCGGTCTCACCTATTCTATTTTCGTTCACAAGATTATTCTTTCGATTTTATTATTTTTTTGTTCAAATCCATTGATGTAGAGAATGATGAATGAATATTTAAAATTATTCATTTGTCTCTATTTTCTTTTTTGAATTTATTTCAAGGATGGTATAAAGCAAAGTTTATCATAAAAAAAAGAGAGAAAGAGCAGACAAGTAATGATGGAGTTGTTTTTCTTCTTTTTGTTTTGGTGACAAAAATATGTCTAGGACTAACAAGACCAATAGTCTACTGGTGAAATATAATGAAATCAGGACAAATAGAAAAAAAAAGAACAGAAAAGATCGCCTAAATACTTTTTTATGTATGGGAAGTAGATAGTTGAAAGAAAAAGAGAAAACAATGTTCTAGAAGGCGAATAATAACATAAAAGCCATCATCAGACAGAAGAGACCCATAGCCTCGGACAGAGCGAAACCCAAAATGGCATATGAGAAGAGTTGTTGTTTTAAACTTGGATTTCTTGCATAGGCGACAACAAGTGAACCGAATACTGTACCAATACCTAAGAGAAAACAAAAACACAAACATACTTATTTTCTTAATTCAAAAAAAAAGAAAATTCAACTAACCGGCACCAGCACCAGCAACACCAACAGTTGCAGCACCAGCTCCAATATATTTAGCTGCTGAATCAATATCACGACGAATAGGTGTAGTAGCAATTGATCGTTGTTGTGCAGCGGACGGAATAATCATTGAAGGTAAATGTTGTTGAATAAGACCAGCATTGCGATTAATTAATAAACGACATAATGCCGATGATGATGTTAATGAAAAGCGTGTTAATGATGCCATTCGTTTTTGTTTTTATAAAATAATTGGCTTGGTTGCCTATGCAAATCTAGAAAATATTAAAAATTAAACGAACGAAACCTCGTATTTTGTTTAGTTGTTGATTTTTCTCTTCTCTTCAACAAATGACAACCATCTTGAAAGATAGAATTCTTAACCACTATAATAGTTTGTTTTTTTCATAACAACAAATAGAAAATATCAACAAATTAATGTATTATTTTAATTAAAAGTATATTCATTGAGTTTGTTCAAAACTTTTATTTTATTTTTTGTACTAATATATTAATGAACTTATGTTAGAGGGCGCCACTTGCTGACAATACTAAATGTAATCTATTGAAATGATAATCTAGAATTCGTTTGTTTAATTTAAAAAGTTGAATGTATCTCAAATATTTAGAATCAGTAATTATGTCTGTTATTTATGTTGCAAATACTTTTCCAATAGGTTTGTAAACATTATTAATGTATATATATATATATATATATATTTATTTTTCGTTCTTATCGGGCATTCTAACTTAGGTCAAAGCTCAATCTTGAATACAGTTTTTAGATCAATTATACATAGTTTTTTTCCATGTATATATATTATTCATACTACTTTAAATGTGGTCTTTTATTGCCACATCATACAAGTTCAGAGCAAAAACCATCTATGACTGTCTCTGTTTTATATAATATGACATTATTTGCACAGGATTTCACTTTACATTTATGAATTTATCGTAATGGGATGAGACTCTAAAGTATACGAAATAAAATGTTGTTTGGATATAGTTTTATATTGTTAACGCTGATGATCTTCGTTGGTATCTGTATAAAATTGATGATAGAACGCTTTCAAAATACTGATAAAATTTTAATGGCACATGAAATCTTACATCATTGAACTCGAAGTTTCATAATGTCATCGCTTATTGATCATGTATGAGTCACTATTAGTTCGAATAGTAATATTGATTGGCTAAATTAAAGGGATCAAAGATTGAAATATTTTTATGGACTTTACATAATCCAGTTGAAATGGATTTTCATTCTAAAACCAACAGGTAGTACGAGAACTTTGATGAATGATTGTGTTTTCCAATAAGATTTAGTTATATTCGGTATATTATTTTATTTAGGATAACAATTTGTTGCTTTTTATGTTTCATAGTATCGTTAGTCCAATGCGTTTTTTTCTATTGGATGAGATTAAAATCGTCTGAAATGATATCATAAAATATTTCTGAACGTATTGTTAATGAATTCCAAATATCGAACAACATCTAATAGATATGTTGAATAGCTTGAAATGAAAGACGAAAGCTTATTATTTGATGACTATAGCTATGGACATACAATTACTTGAGTATTTTGGAAGAAAATCGAAGATTATATTCACCGTTGTAAATGTAAAGAAAATTATAACTGTTACTATTGGTTTTAATTTTGTAGAGAACTTGTTTTAGATTTTTGAAACTAACAAAAACCTTGATCCCCAATATCTAATTATCATTTATTCATTTACAAGTCAATGTTTATCCTAATAGATTCATCTTTGTCCTTGATTTGTCATCATAAATATACATGAACAGATCTTCAAAACTTCATTTCAGATATGCACTAGATAAATATAAATCTTTTTATTGTCTATGAAGCTTATTATTTGAACATTCCGAAATGTTCATTATTCATTATCTAGAGAATATACAAGTATATTAAAAGAAAAAGTTCTTTTTAACCTTCAAATGTATTTCTTTTAACACTTCTATCATCATCATTTTCTTGTTCATCGGTCGACCAATTCTTTCGTCATCAACATTCGACTGTCATCAACTCAACGACAAAGGTAAAGTGCCAATAGTAATAATATTAATGATGATGATAAATTTGCAATGTGATGAAGAGAATATCATACGTATGGGACATTTGATCCTTGGAAGATGGAAAATTTTGTAACTATCTATTTAAGTTGTGTAATACATTCCCCTTGTTCATACATATTTTTAATGCACTTTCTTTGTGTCACAAGAGAAAATCGTATCAATATCATTCTTTTTTTTTTAATCATTATGAGAGGAGAATTATACGTAATAGATCATGAATGAAATGCTAAAAATGTTCGATGTGTGATCATATATATATATATATGTATGAAGTAACAGTATTGAATGAACGAAAGAAGAAAAAAGAAAGACACATTTTGATACTAATCGAGAAAAGAGCAACATCTTATAATATTACAAGATCCATGCAAATAAATAAATATAGCACAGTCTTCCTTTATTATATGACAATAACATGTTTCAAATAATCAAACAGCAGGTAAGTAGAAGAAAAAACTATTTCAAGTGTATGTATATAAAGCATATAAGATGGAAGAGTGAAGGAAGAGAATTATTAAATCAGCAAATGTGTATGTAATCAAGAAGTAGTATAAGCATAGCTGAGCACGTCCAGACAAACACAGTGGGTGGCAGAACGAAGGCTACTAATGAAGGGACCAATACAATTCTCTGAATCAAGCATAAAAAAAGGAAAATGCCTCTGGTAGAATCATAAACATTAATGAATTGTTTAGTAGCCTGACAGAAAAAAGAAAATGCTGGTGAAGTAACATGATGGAATTATGCGATTGTTGTTACGTTACATATATACAATTATGAATGTTATTATCAAACTTGATATAAATGAGAAGGTTAAATTAGAAACAACTATAAACAAATCAGTTGACCTACAACGTTTTCTTTTAGTTTGTTCATTGATTTAGTTGTTTGTAATCGATCCGACATAAATCGTGTGTAAATTCGTTCATTCAATTTCATATGATTAAATTAAACACTTTATACATATATATATATCTCAACATCATCTCAAGTGTAACATTGTATCTAAATAAATAGAAATGACCTAGTAGATTCTTTTTGTTTTCAATTGATTATATCTAGTGATACAAATAAGATAGTATTATAAAAAAATATAATTGTCTCTTTCCTTATATTTAAATAGACGAACAAATTTCCTGCAACAAATACTTGATGTCCTTTTTTTTTCTTTCTTTCTTTCTTCCTTTTGTCTGATTTTTTTTTGTCACCACAATTGGACACTATAGTTGTGTGGCATGTTGACTCACATACGCCCCATGATATATTAATAGTAGTAGTAATGGTCATCTTCTTCTACAACAATTAAGAGAAAGAGAAAGAAAACGAAGTGCAATAACAAACATACTCACATATTGTCTTCATTGGTCGACAATTGTATTTATTATTATTCAAGAACTTTACATATACACGCACGATATTCTTTTTTTCTTTTAATTTGTAAACTTATTTTTAAACACGCAATCTATTGAGCAGTTTCATTTACTATTTTATATTCTATTCTAGACTATGTCATATTGTCAACTAAACGCATAACTAAACGAACATCAGCTATTGCATTGATTACCATTTTTGATCGGAATTGATTATCTTTCTCTTTCTTTCCATTAGAGAATGCCAACGACATTATCATCCGATCGCTATTCAGCAGTTTCATCATCATCTACTTCTTCTACCTCATCAAGCAGTTGCTACAATAATAATAATAATAACAATAATAATCATAATCATAATAACAGTTCTTTATCTCAATCATCTCGTTCATCATCAACATTTCTACCACTTCGTTCTGCAAAATCATCATTTCACTTGTCAAAATCAAACAATACAAATTATCATTCTATGCAATCACTTAAAATTCGTCAACAATATAAAACAAATCATACACCTGTTGCACGTATATCACCACTTGTTATTAATCAACAATTATCATCAAATGAAATTTCTAAACAACATGATAAAGATGATGGTTGGCTTAGCTGTGAAGAACTTGAAACAATTGAAAAACGTTTTACTGATTTATTACAAGAACCAAATTATAAAAAACCAATTATTTTAAATAATTATCAACAACAAGAACAACAACGAGCAAAAAGTTGTGATCGATTAGCAATGGATGATGAAGATTATAAACCAACAACTTTGCCTGGTAATTTTAATATCAAAGTTAATTGTAAACAAAAAAAAAGTTTTATTTTTAGTTCCTCGAAAATCATTAATTAGTAAAACGGAAGATAAAGACTTAGATAATAATTTACCGTTACCAGCTTCAATAATCTATGATAATAATACTCGTCCTCGTTCGCAAACTCCTCATCATTTTGTTTCATCATCTACTCGAACAGTTCTATCTGCAAACGATATTCTTAAAGTTGAATCATCTTATCGAAGTATTGGTACTCAAGTATTTGCTTGTCGTTGTTTATGCGATCTATATATAACAACAACTGATCGTTTAGCTAAACTTGAAGATTGGATATTATTTCAACATGGTTTACCTGTATGGTTACTCAATTCAGGTACAGATCCAAAACGTCAATCACGTTTATCTTTAATTATTGCTGAACATGGTTCTGGTTTTCCAGTATGGCAAGACACGATAAATGGATTTAGTGACGTCAAACAAGCTCGTGCACAACATATAACATTTCGTTTATCTGACCAAATAACACTTGCTGTACTTCGTTTTAATGATTTATCAGCATCAAAAGATTTTTATTCTTATTATCAATCAATACGAAATGATAAACGTTATGAACATTTATTTTCAACCATAATATCAAATAGACATCATAGAAGTTCATCATGTGGTTCAATATTAAGAAAACATCGAAAAAATCAAAATATTAATAAATCATCAATATCAAATCCATGTCAATTTCAACATATAACTTGTTTACAAGTTAAAGATCGTGTTCGCTTAATATCACTTGATCAATGTCTTATACCATCACAAAATTATTCAAATCAGCATATTTAAGACGAATAAAAAAATGGTCGAATGAACTCAGACAAATTATAAGAATGCTCTATTGTTTGATTTTAGTGTTGTTTTCTTTTCATCATATATAAATATGGACAGTATAAAATGGAAAGAAAAGCAATCAATTGAATTTGTTGTAATAAGAAGAAGACCGAAACAAATTCAAATTAATTGTGAACATTCGAATGTTTTCACATAGAAACCTTGTATTATTTTTCATTGATCAAGGCTTTATTGGATAACATTAAGATTCAATAAGTAACAAGACAAAAGAATTTTCATATAGAGACATAGGATCTATTTGCAGTTAGCTCTGTTTGTCGTTTTTTTTTTGGGACTCGAAATGAGAAATATTGCTTGACAGAGAAATAGTAGTTGTTTGTTAATCTCCTTGAAGTTTTCCTAGTTTGTAAGACAAAATAAGAGATTATTCGTGATTCTTCGCACTGATAGATACAGAGTGGACCATAAAATAACTAGACAATAAAAGCGTTCAATATCTCGAGCCTGCTTTAATTTATCGGAATTGTGTTTTTCTCTCGATGATAGAAGAATCTTTGAAGTTTTTGTTCACAAGGATATCGCCAAATACTACTTGTGTTAACTAGCACTGTTGACTTCAATAAAGAAATACACTACTGATCAACAGCATTCTCCTATAATATTAGTCATTCTTAAGGCTATGTATCTTACATTTTTAGCATATGTACTATCTTAGGAATTTTCTCCAACGAGACCAGCCCAGTTACGATTGCTAGAGTTGAAGAGAAATTATGATATATGATAGCTCGTCGCAATATGAGTTCTATAATTTAACAAGGGAAAGATGATATGATCTCATCAATCTATCATTATGTAAAATATTCGCAGCTTCAGAATACTTAAATGGCTTTCGGTGAAATTCGTTACGTGGATAGTCGCATCAAAAGACAACATCATGATAGACTCACCGAGTCATAAGATTCTTTCCTTCTTGAATCATAGAACTCATAGGTAGAAGAAGTACCATTGATCATAACTGCTCTTCAACTCAAGCGAATGAAGTAGGTTTGATCTCACTAGCTTAGATTTCTAAGGTAGTTTATAATCGTTAGAAATTTTAGATGTTCAGCACTTATAATAGCTGAGATCAGAGGATGAAATGCATTTAATCAATAGTGTACTTCCTTATTGAAGTCAATAGTGCAAGTTCTACACAGTACCTATTTCATAGTTTCCTTATGAATAAAAACTTTGATGAATACTATATCATTGAAAAAAAATTCAATTTGGTTGATTAAAACAAACTTGAGATATACTTAGAGTATACCAAAAGTCCTTACGGAGCTATATCAATCTCTTATAGAATGCTTGAAGAAATTTTCTTTTTTTATGTAGTGATAGAGAAAACGATGCTCTATTTTTTATGCTATTTGATCTATCTTCAACTAGTATCATAATAATAAAAATTTCGATAAGAACTGTTTTTGTGTAAAACTTAACTAACGGATGAGGCAGATTAATACGCTTTGCGTTTCAACTTTCAATCACTCAGTACGTTGTATTAAAAAACAAAATATACCACAGAATGCAGTGTGAAAAGCTCTACAACTTATAAAGAACAGTTTATTTTATATATGAAATAAGAAACCAGAATTTCTCTTCGCATAATTTTTTCGGGGCGGTGAAAATTGGTTGAACAGAATTTTGATTTCTTTGACGAGAAATACACAATTAAAATAAACTTTACTTTGTAAATTGTAGAGCTTTTAATGATGCATCTTGTGATGTGTTTTGTATTTGTTAAATAAAAGATATCAGGTGACAAAATGATGAAATAAAAGAAAAAATGAATCCATCTTCTACCAAAAAATATCATTTTCGTACGATCGAAAATTGATCGCTCAAAATTTTGTTCATTTTGAAAACAAAAAATGCAACTATAAAGTAAGCGGCTTTATGTAAATTGTAGAGCTTTTCACGCTGCATCTTGTGGTATATTTTGTTGTTTAATACAATGTATTAAGTGATTGAAACATTTAATCTGTCACACCCGTTAGTTAAGTTTTACACAAAAACAGTTCTTATCAAAATTCTATTATGATGATATTGGTTGAAGATTGATCAAGTAGCATAGAAAAATAGAACATCATTTTCTCTATTACTACATAAAAACAGAAAATTTCTTCAAGCATTCTATAAGAGATTGATATAGCTCCTTAAGGACTTTTGGTATGCTCTAAGTAGAATTTCCTTTTATCGTATAATCGTTCATTAGGAATCCTATACATTCATGAAGTTCTGGCACTAGAATAATATTTAAACAAGTAAGAAAAAGCGTGTTGACTCCGTTATTAAAAACAATATAGAACTGTAAGAATGTATATTGATCAGTCTATAGTTGTTCACAACACTATTCTAATTCTTTTTCGACAGTTTTGATATTGACATTCTACCATTTTCCGATGTTGATAATGTTTACTTTCTAAAATACATTCTAAATACATGGCGATATGAAATCAACTACTGTTGATTTTAGCAAACTTTCTAGTGATTGAATAAGCTTATCTTCAAGTTAAAACAACTATCAAAATAAACCTCATCAACAAGAAATATTTGCGCCGTACACTAGTGTCATTTTATTAGTTTTAATTCGTTGTCAAGTATATGATTGGTTAGAAGAATTGTGCAATAATGTTGTATTTTTGAGTGTTGTGTTTACGCCCGAATTTAACTTTTTGATATTAATTGTATATTTAGAAGTGCGTTTATCCCTATATAAGTCATGTGGTAATGTGTAAACATTTATAGAAGAGGGAATAAATAGTAATAATCTAGACGATGAATATAGTAATGAATTTATTTGATGGTTACTTCCAGAGATATCTGCACTATTAAACAAAACTTTATATGAATATTAAATTTCGTTTTTTTTTGCTGAAGTTTACTGATAAATCTACGTTATTGGAAATAGTAACTTAGATTACATTTAGAAATCATCTACATTGGACAAAAGCAATATAAAAACAGAAAAATTGACAAACTATCAGCTACATAGGATGAAGCATCTATTATTAACATCGTATCGTTTTTGACAGTAGATTTTTTGTGTATCCTTATATTTCCTCAGGTAATCAAGTTAGTTGCTTTGTTTCATATAGCAAACAATAGAATTTTCTTTGGTTATTTAGATTGATAACATATAATTATTTGAAATATTCCGACTATCTCCACTTACAAAATAATTTCTGATGACCTTCATGCTTGACATTTATTTCAGCTATTGATATCAAAAGCATTTCCACGAATAAACTTCTAGTCTAGTTGTCACTTTAGTCAGATTATTAGAAGTTATACATAGCGAGTCATTAAATTAAGAAAAATAAATTGAACAGCTACAATTATATCTTAAATGTAAAGGGCAGATGTAAATTACAGTTCAATCTCCAGTTGAAAATCGAATCTTTAACTGGGTAAACTTCATGATGAAGTTTCTACATCTATTACCATCAAAGACAATATAATGATTCTAATTCAAATCTAAGTATCTTTGTTTAATAATAATATATGAAAAAAAAACTAATTCATTGCTTATATACTAACCGAGAACGTCTCTTGTAACTTACGAGGGAAAGTTCTCAAAGTATAACTCGTCAATCAAACTGATATGTTATCCATTCATATGGCCTGATAAGACTAGGAGAAGCTTATAAGTATTCGTCGTCATGCACTGTTCTTCCGAAATTATTACAATTTTACTAAATTTTTTTATATCTAGCAAGGAATTGGTGAAAAAATCTAATAAGGATATTGCGACCTGAAATTTCACCCATGGATAGGTCTGTTTGACTTTATAGTGTGCTGAAGACTTCCGTCCAAAAGAGTGTCTTACTCTTGAGATATCAAATATTGAAAACACTGTCATTTTTCATCTTTCCTTGTGACACCGTATTGTTTTTTTTGGATATTCAATATATCAAGAAGAATATATCCTTTTGCTTTGAAATTCTGAGAGTATTCTCAAGCCTACGAGAATTACTTATAGACAAAATATTAGTTCGATTGGCGAATCACATTTGTAAACATAATAGAAATTTTTAGATGTCATCTGCAGCTGCTCAACAATTTCTTTTATTAGCTAAATCAGTTCGTGGTTCAGCTGCTGTTGATTTAGTAAATCGTGTTCTTGAACATCCGGATATCTTTGGTTTCAATGAGTTTCTTCGTCTTGAATCACTTGTAAACTCTCTTAAACAAGATCATCCACTTGTTTTATCAACATTAGAATTATTTGCTTATGGAACAATATCAGATTATGAATCGCAACGTTCACGTTTTCTAAATTTATCTCCATTAGCACGTCGTAAATTACAATTATTAACATTAGCTTCACTTGCTATACATGCTCGAATACTACCTTATGAACTTTTATTGAAACAACTTCAAATTGATAGTATACGTGAACTTGAAGATATAATTATTGATGGTATTTATGCACAAGTTATACGTGGAAAATTAGATCAATTAAATAATCGTCTTAATGTTGAATATGCTATTGCACGTGATGTTAATTCAATAGCATTTAATCGTATGGAAAATATGCTTGATACATGGTGTTTAAATTGTGCTAATTTATTAAATGTTTTAAAACATGAAGCAAAAATTGCTAATGAAAAAAAGAAAAAATCTCTCAATGAACAAGATAAATACAATAAAGAAATGTTATCAATGATTAAAATTATTGATTTACAAGGACAACATTCAGGTGGAAGTTCAAAACGAGATAATAATGAAAATGATAATAATTTTAATTCATTACAAAATCTTTCAAATATAACGACTGGTAATGCAGATTCAAAACAAAGTGGAACAAAAAAATCTGCTCGACATGTTGCTAAACGAGTTCTTCGACCATAAAGTTATATATACATGTGCGTGATTATTGTATTTTATATTCTAGATAATAAAAACAAGACAAAAATGAACTTTATATAGAAAAACAAAACAAAAGAATTTTT